TTATCCCTTTACACAATATACACACACAAGCCAAGAAACTAAATATTAATGTTAATAAAAAAAATAATTGAGAATGCTAACACCTGCATTGGCATTTTTGTGATACTTGAACCTTAGAATAATGGGAAAACAAGTGTGCAGCCACAGTTCCATAACTCAAACCATCAATTTGAATTAGTAAGTCCAGAAGTAAATGAAACGTGCAACAACTGTGCGCAATAATTGTTTGATTGCCACGGTCAGAAAGACAAGAACAAAAAAAAGATCTGTTTGTGTTTTATAGCATGCGACTCTGCTCATCTCCAGAGCGCAATGGGGTATGAGATATACACAAATGACCCTGTGAAGTCTGATGGGTCACCTGTATGTGTTTCTATACCCCGCCCTTCATTTACCACTTCACATCAGCTGCATTTCCCTCCACATATTTCAGCTCTTTTTTTCGACCTGTTCATTTTCATTTGCTGCTTTTCCTCATCCAGCTGTGACATGGGAGAAATCATGCATGAAAAAATGTATGGACCGACTATAATTGGCCTTCTCCACACATATAAACATGCAAGTGCACACACAAACATTCCCCGATAGTGTTTCCAGAACGTAAAGTGGTTTGTAAACAGCGCACCAACTGTTTTTATCCCATGGTTGACTGACAGTAATTCATACAGACACTTTCATTTGGGGAGGGTGCCATCTTTAATCCCTTCATAAGATGACCTAAATGACTTCCGTTCCGACTTTTTTCCCTTGTCTCTTTCTCTCTCTTGCTCCCGGTGGTTGGACCCCCACCCCTGTTTCTCACAGTGTCTCTCAGTAGGGGTCATGATAGCTGTCAGCGGGCGGTATCATTAGCCATGCCGCATCTCAGAAAATTCTGGAATTCCGTCTCCTGGCAGAAAACGGGAGAGTGTTTAAAATGGAATTGGATTTGAGGGTCTGTTTTGGGCCAAGGCGGCACTCACCGGTATTAGGTGACACAATGCATGAGGACATGTCAGCTAACCGAATGCCAAAATAGAATTTTAGTAATTTGGCAATGAAGGGGAAGAAGTGATAAAAGCATTTAGAGGACAGATGCAAATTCCTTAAAGAGAACGGAGACTGAAGGACGTGTAGGCTAAAGCAGGGTACTAAGAAGGGGCATATTTGATTAAATAAATAATCAAGATTGATTAATATAACTAATCATGAAGTATCTGTGATGATATTACATTTAAGTTCCATTTGCAAAAATAAATAAATAAATAAAATACAATTATAGTGGGTTGTAGTATGGTAACCAATCACAGACGTACTGTACAGTGGACCGAAAAAGATTTGAGAAATTTTGGACTTTCATTAAAATAAATAAGTGGCATCTGCAAACATTTTTTTTTTTTTTTTTTTTTTTTTTTTTTGATTAGGCCTAAATAGTTTTAAAAGAGCAAAATCATTGACAGAAAATGTGCAGTTTAATTATCTTTGAACATAATTGCCACTTCTGACTGCACCTGCATGCCTTTATTTTTTAAGCAATATATGAGTTTGCTGCTCACATATTCTGACTTAATTTCTCACAATTGTGAGTTTAGAATTCGCAATTCTATATTTTTGAGTCCAAACTGTGAGAAAAAGTGTTGTTGTTTTGTGGCAGAAACAAGCTTCGATACTTGCTGCCCTTGACTGAAGACAAAATATTCCAATGTGAATTAATAGTGAATACAAATAAAAGCAATCATAAGGACAATGTATAATTCATATTATTCTAGTAATGTGCAATATTTCATGGAACAGAAAGTCACTGGAGATGATTGAGGGTAATTGGAGATGTGAAAGTGCAATGTTCTGCTTTACTCAAATGGGCTTTTGCAGGCTCAGATTTAACATGTAAACACTCTGTTTATCACTCTATACACTGCATTTGAAGTGTTTTGTTCTGTAAACCTCAGAAAATATGACTAGATTGTGTGTAAACCTTGATTTGTCGTTTACAGATATGCCTCTCATATGTTTTTTTTTTTTTTTTTTTTTAAAGTCCCATTACCTTTTTCGCCCACATATGTTCATTTATTTTTATTATTATTTTTTTTTTTATTATTAATGAAATCTAAAATCTGTGGTAGAGGCAAAGGCTGACCTTCAAATTGGTGATATCATGGGACAGGTACAGCATGGAAGATTTCGGGCTCAGTTTAGCTCCTCATAAATGGCACAAAGCAGGCCCAGCTCAAAGGAAGAAGCTGGTAGTCAATGAGGTGTGAAAGCAGGAGGATGAGGTGAAGAAAGGTCAGTTCCCAGGCCACACAGGGAGAGTGGTTGAGATGGGAGAGTGTGGAACAATGCAAGATGGGCTGGCAAGACCCTTGGTCAATGGAAGAGAGTAGACTAGTTTCCTTATCAGGTCAACATATGATGTTCTCCCATCACCACAGAACCTAAACCTCTGGGTATGAGAGGATCCTTCTTGTCCTTTGTGTTCATCACTTACCACATTAAGGCACATGTTGACAGGGTGTAAGGCGCCATGACCAAGTACTGCGATGTTTGGCTTTAGCATTGGAGGCAAGTGTAACATGACCAATACATTGCCACCTGTTCTAGCAAAACATTACACACAGAAGACAATATTCCTCCACCCAGACGAGCAACCACCAAGAAAAGGTGTTAACACCAATTCTCGCCAAGGACAACTGGAAGCTCTTAGGGACTGGAAAATGCTGGCTGATCTTGATCAACAGCTTATTTTTCATGCAAGTCCATTGCAGCATTTATCTTGCATTAATTTAACCTGCATTCAAATCCTTGAATAGAAGACGGAAGTAGGGCTGTTCATGTAGCAACATGTAAAATTCACTCTGTCCATGTCTGTGTATATATATATATATATATGAAGAGTTCAGATGCAAAAGCCTCTAAGTGCCATTTGAAATTTTCTTCTAGAATGATCATTTTTATCAAGCTTGTATATTTAAGTTCAGTAATTTCACTTAAATGGCAATTCATAGGTAATCTTCATTGTCATTTAAGTGAAATTACTGAACTTAAATATATAAGCTTGATAAAAATTTCAAATGGCACTTAGAGGCTTTTGCATCTGAACTCTTCATATATATATATATATATATATATATATATATATATATATATATATGTAATGTTGATTGTGTTAACTCAAATTCACATTTTAAGTGTTATTGAAGTTTGCAAGGCACTTGGAGAGAGCAAAATTAAAAACTGACACAGCAAAAGGCGAAAGAGACAAAAAATGAGAGACAAAGTGAGAGACAGATAGAAAAGTGGCTGTGTGCTGTCCTGCTGACAGCAAAGCATCATGGGGGCTTGTTTGTTCAAATGTTTATAGAGATATGCCCTGTCAACACCTCAGACAGCATTACTTACAGCAATTAGTTCTTCCTTGTTGCCCCCCTTACCCCCCCCCCCCCCTCCCCCCTCTCTCTCTCTCCCTCACTCCTTTGTTTTTTGTCACTCATCCACAGTGTGTGAGTTATGGTATAGACTGTTTGGCCTTTCGTAGCTGTCAGAGCCAACAGACTTTTTGGAACTACTAAATACAGGAATCAACATATTTATAAATCAAAGGGCAAACAGACTTTTAATAAAATGTAATTCATGTCCCTGGTGATGTTTTCACTCCTGATCCATATCTGGAAATTAAATGTGTGTCCTTTAGGACGAATTAATGCACCAGGATTGAGTCATGGTAGTCTTATATAGCCAGAGTTTTTAATATAATCTTGCATCGTAGGTGTTTCTTCCAGTTTGAACACTTTTATGTCCAATGGTTAGTTGTTTTTTTATGTATTTATTTATTTATTCAAAGTATCACAATAGGCCTATGTCACACTTCCTGCTTCCGTAACGCGGAGTAGTGATACAGAACTTCCGGTCAATAGTATTTCTTGATAAGGATTTAGATTATCAGCCCTAATGTCTAAACCATCCGAGGTAGACTGAACACGAGCTATGAGGTTGTGAAACAAAGGGTTTTGCTCCTGTTGAAGCTATACCAACCGTTCAAAAAAAAAAAAAAAACGTTTTATCCGCGATCTTATGGAAAAAAAAAAAATACTACCCACGATCCTAAGCGTAGCAGCAACGTCTGCTGATCCAACTCACTGGTCCAACTCGCTGTTACCATAGAAACGTTTACCTTTCTGGTGAACGGCTAGAGCTACCCTCGGCTGTTGTTGTAGTGTACCGGGTTGCTCTGCATCGGGACGTAGGCAGCCATACCTCAGCTTTCACACGTTCCCACTTGACAGTTTTCATTTACCATCCGAACCACATTGTCATGTGACTTCAGGCAGGAGACGGAGAGATTTTGTCCGGCGGTATCTATCAGACTCCACCATTGTAAAAAGCTAACCTGAAGAGCTGTATCCCTACTAAAAGAAGAATTTTTTCGTGACATAGGCCTATGTTATATAAAGATCTTAGTTTGTTTGTCTATAAAATTGTTGTCCTTGGTTACCAATGAGCCTAACATAGACATGAAATGTGAAATGAAACAAAGGAAAATTGAGGTAAATAATTGAAATGATAAATGACCATGATATTATTACTTCGTGTTATTTCTAATCAAGCTGTTAAAATGTGCAAAATTGTACTTTTTTTTTTGTTGTACTATGCCAAATTTGGAAAACACTTGCCATTTTTGTGAGCGATTACCCAGATGAATGGCCTGTGGGGGTCTGAAGCTGGTAAATGGAATAAGCAACACACACACACACACACACACACACAGAGAGAGAGTCTAGACTGGACTGGTCAGACTGATGTGTCTTTACCACAATGGGCAACACTGTTGAACTATGCATGTCTCACATAACGAGACAGTCTTTCATCAAGTGTGGTGTTTTTATATGAGTTAATGCAGTGTAATCTTAAACTACTGTTATCATGTTGATTCATCTTATCTTTAGTCTTTGATTATAATGTCTGTATTTTCTGCTCCCCTCTTCTCTTCTCTTCTCTTCTCTCTTCACCTCTCTTCTTCTCAGATCTTCTTAAATGCAAACTCAATCCGTCTTGGAAATCTTCCACACGGGAGCGTGGACCTATTGCTTGGTCCAGGGACCACATACTCCAAACAGACTGTGTACGAGGTGTGTGTATGTCCCAGTGGCAAGCTCTATCTGTCTCCTGCAGAGAGCTCTTCCACCTGCCAGACCACTAATAGTGTGTGTCTCTGGAGCTGAGAAAGGTGGGTGGGCCATGGACCACCCAGCACCAGAAAGGCCTTCCTTCACCTTCCCTCTCTTGCTCCTTTCCTTCCTCCTCTGGTTTCCTCTATCTTATTCTTTTTCTTTATTCTGTAATGTCTTTCTTTTATCCACACTTACATCTGTCCATCTGCCCTTACATTTGTCCATCCAGTATCTGTCTATCTATCTATCTATCTATCTATCTATCTATCTATCTATCTATCTATCTATCTATCTATCTATCTATCTATCTATCTATCTATCTATCTATCTATCTATCTATCTATCTATCTATCTATGTCTTTCTGTCCGTCATCAAAGCATCTTTCTCATAATGGCCGTGAATCCGTCTTTTACTTTATTTTGTCCTTTCTTGGTCTTCCTCTTGTCTATTCTCCTCCTCTTTCAATTTGTTCTCTTTCCCATTTTCCTCTTCCTCTTTGTCCTCTCAAGCAGAATTCAGGAATCATTTGACGTATCTTGGCTCGGCTGGAGCCTCATGTCCCCAATCTGTAAATGGAGCAGAAACTCTCTTGTTTTTTGTTTTTTTTTTGTTTTGTTTTTCTGTGAGTGTTTTGTTCCTCTTATTTTTGTACGAGCGTCTGACTCAGTGGAGGATTGTGAATGTGTGCCGGGACGCTGGACTGCACTCATGAATGAGCACACACACGGCGACCCGCAGACGAGCGCGTGTTTTTTTCTAAAGAAGATACTAAGGTGCCTTTGCTACTGTTAGTAAAGCACATCACCTGCTACTGTCCCTCCACGCTCCACGTGCAGTAAGACTAACCTCCGCTAGGAAAACTGACCGAACGAACCCTGTACTCTATTTTTTAGTTCATTGGTCGAAAAGATAATACGATAAACCGAAAAGAAAACATTTTTTTTTTTTTAATCTCTTGGATGTTTCTTTTCTTTTTTTCTTTTTTTTTTGGAAAAAAGCACAAGATTATGCCATGTATATAACAACATTAATAAATAATAATAAAAAGAGAAAGTTTATTTTAAGAATTTTGTATTCAAGAATGCTTGATAATGTTTCTTTTTATTGCTTTGGTCTCATGGACACTAGGATGGGCCAGTGTTAAAAAAAAAATATATATATGTTTGTTTATTTATTTATTTTTTTATTTTATTTTAAAACTCTTTCCTGTTATCAATCAAACTAAACTTTTGGATTGTGTTTAGGTCTTAACTAAAATTGATCCTGCCAGTCAAAAAGAGGTGCCATAATATATATTTTTTTTTTTCTTGGTAATTCTCTCCACATGATGTAGTGTAAAACTCAATACTGCAAGTTTATTATTAATCATCATTGTTACATTATTTACTGTTTTTAGAGTTTCAGACCATGGACCACTGCACTGGAGTAAATTGAAATATGATTTAGAGGCACGTTTCTGCAAAAAAGATCTCACAGTGAAAGTACACTGCCAATATGGAATAACCTATGAAGTTATGTAGGGAAAAGTGTATACAGTTATGAGAAACGGTTATTGACCCATTTGGAATAATATGAATTTATGCAAGAGTAGCTCCTAAAATATAATTTCATAGTAATAAATTAAATGATAATCAAAGATAGTTCTATTTTATAAGCAAAATGCACAAATTTAGAAGCCATTCATGTAACGTTCCAATTCCAAAGAGGTTAACAAACTTATTGTACAGCAGTGATCCAATATCACTTGTGTTTATGACGGTCAACAAACTCATTATGACACATGAAACATAGTCGTTTGAGAATTTTGACAGCAGTTTTCTTCAGTTGCGAGAGACAAGTATGTTTGGCAATAGGAGATAAAAAGTGTATAACAACTGAAGCATATAGCTCTATGTTTAAAAGCTCAACTTTGTTTTTCCAAGATATCCAAGCCACAAATGCCCGCATAACCGTTTAAAATATGGAAGAACCTGACTAGATTAACACAGAACCCAGCTAATGTATAGTAGTATGAGGTGCTTAGCATCAAAATAACTATTTATTTATTTTTGTGTTTGCGTTCTGTAGGAGAGATTTCTTAAATTAAAAAAAAAGATATATTTTCTTACAAATTCTATGCAATGTGTTTGTAAGATTGCTGATCTCACAGCAATTCGTACGATTTATTTATTTTTTTCCTGAGGTCGCTAATTCATACGCATTCATACGACCTCACTTGTTCAAATTCGACCGATGTTTGCTAATTCATACATATTTTACGAGTTACCAACCCCTGAACCCGCCCCTTAACCTACCCATCACGTGGGTTTAGATAAAATTAGCCACCTTTTAATCACTCGTACGAATTGGTCATGAGATAGCGTTGAGATTGCTGTGAGGGTGGAATAGTATTCATTTATCTGAGGTCATGTTAATGTCCTAGATTTTCTTTTCATCATAACTCCAGTATTATACCATTCAAATGAAAGTGGCTCATGAAGCGAGTTTGAAAATCATTAGAAATAAACATGAAATGAACACATGCAATTATGTTTTTTTGGAAAATGAACCCCAATCACAGTCTTTCCCTTTGTTTGCTTTTCATGTTGTTTCCCAGCAATGTCAGTGCCATTGACATTTGGCAGAGTCCAGGGTAGTTGATTTATTTTCTGTGAAGATAATAATGGACATATGTTACTACATCCCCCAGTCTCTGTCTTTCTTTCTTTCCATTTTCTTTCCATTTTCTATCAATTTTTGACTAGAATGGGTAGACGCAGGCAGAGGCAGTCTTTGAGGCTTTCGGATCAAATTTACCATGAAATAGAACATCTTCATAAAAGGATGAGGTCAGTGCTTTGGTTAGGACTCACTCTTCTGGCACCTCCACCATCATTTGGAAAAGCAGAGAGGTCTTATAAAGCTTACGAACTCTGGGAGTGAAGCTAAACATCAGAGGAGATTGAGGTCCATAAAAAGCATACTCATTCTTCACTGTGTTTTGTGCTCATAAAATTTGACGCACTATTAAAAACGTGTTTCGAGTGTAAAACAAACACCCTTTAGGGTTTGTTTCTTTTTTAACATGTGTACTCATTTTGTGTTATTGCACTTTATTTACCCTTTTATGTGTTTTAAAATGAGATTTGACGGTGAAATATGATTAAATCTGTTTCCAAGGGCTTTGAAAAAACTTTGTTGAGTCTTGAGATGCAGATTCATCACAAATTCTTATTGTTGAATGCAATCTGTACTATAGTGTTTGAAAGTTGAACTAGATTAAAAATAGCTTCACTAAACAATTACGAACTTGTCTAGGACAAAACAGCTGTTGACTGAGTTCACTCGGATTGAATAGCGTCTACGAAGATAGCTGAAATTAATTTTAGTTGTATTCTTCTCTAAATAATGAATGTTTTTGAGATGCCTCATTGGCATTCATAAGGGATAAACGCGTTATATAAAGCATTGAGAGGTAGACAGACAGCTCACAACCCCCAGGAGGCAAATGACTGAATCCACATGTAAACGTTTTTACAGTTTTCATCTATTACAGTTGATGTTTCTGTTTTCACTATCATTCTTACCTCAATTGTCTCCCGCTTTTTCGGTGAATTTACACCATGAGACCCAACAGTATGTGGTCATGAACAACAACATTCAAAGTGGCATTTACAGTCACTTTTGCATGTGGGTTTTCAGACTTATTTGCCTCTGCCTGCGATTTGTTTCAATCATTTCTATTGTTTTCAATGGAAATTTGCTTCCTTTCTATGTAAATTGGGTTTATTATATATCGTGTCTTTTTAATATAAATATATATATTTTTTAACCTTGTGCAATTCATGTTGAATTATTACTGCCCACGGAATGTAATTTTAAAGAGATGTTGTTTTTTTGATTTTCTGTTGATCGTGGCAGCAGTAATTCATCAAATGATGTACAAGAGCATTATAACTGGGCATATATCCAGATATCGAGGAAGATGAGTGTGCATTTACCATATTCAGTATTATTATTGTTTTATCATTAACAGAACACTTTAAAAAAAAAGGGGTAACACTTTAGAATACTGTATCTTACTTACTGCATAACTAATAAGGAATTAATGAAGAACTAATAGGTAATTCTTCCTTAACCACTTCTTCACTACTGTTAACTACTAAGGAAGATGTGTTAACTAATAAGTATGTAATATAATTTTATGATTGTGTTAAGTATCTTTTAGTTAATCAATAGCTAATGAATTCTGTCATACCTCCCGAAGAACTACTATTAATTATCTATTAATTAAGGTTCAAGAAAAATAACTATGAAGTAACTACTAATTAACAGTCATACACAGTAGTCAGTTTGTCATTCTTCAGCACTAATAAGAAAAATAAGTGCAGACATTTACCTATAGGCTATGATCCGCAAATAAGCAAAAACATATCATGTATATTACACCTTATTATTATACTTAGTTCTTATACATTTTAAACTTCTTTTGCACCATTCAAGTTCCGGCAATATCGCGGTCGCCACATACACTGAGCCTGGGTTCTCCCAAGGGTTTTTTCTCCATTTTGTCCCTGATGGAGTTTTGGTTCCTTGCCACTGTTGCCTTTTTCACCTCTCTTCGCCTTTGTCGCAAGTAACTGTCGTGTATTTTACAAAGGTTTAGATGATTACGTTAATATATATAGGCTAATATTTTTTTATTTACAGTAAGTTTGATTTGAGTCAGAAGTATGTGGTAATTCTTTATTAATTACTAATGGGTTCCCTATATTGTCACTTTAGAATACTGTTCCAGGTTCTAAGTAATTCCTGAAGGACTATCTAATAATTATTTATTAATTACCAATAAGTTCCTTATATTTTTACTTTAGAAGACTGTTTCAGGTTATAAGTAGCCTAATTCCTAGATAATTAATTTGATAATTATTTATTAATTACTAATGGGTTCCCTGTGTTGTCACTTTAGAATACTGTTCCAGGTTCTAAGTAATTCCTAAAGAACTATTTAAAAGTTATTTATTAATTACTAATAAGTTCCTTATATTTTTACTTTAGAAGACTGTTTCAGATTATGAGTAGCCTAATTCCTGGATAATTATTTGATAATTCTTTATTAATTACTAATGGGTTCCCTATATTTTCACTTTAGAATACTGTTCCAGGTTCTAAGTAATTCCTGCAGAATTATTTGATACTTATTTATTAATTACTAATGAGTTCTCTATATTTTCAGTTTCCCTCAGTCGTTGCCTCAAATACATGAATTTACTCAGTGGCATTCTATGCTGAGGAAAACAGACACACACAGTACTGTATATAAAATATACAAATAATCTGAGGTTAGTTTTGTATGACTGTTCAGTAATTACTTCTTAGTTATTTTTCTTGAACCTTAATTAGTAGATAATTAGTAGTAGTTCTTCAGGAGGTATGACAGAATTCATTAGTTATTGATTAACTAACTGATACTTAACACAATTGTAAAATTATATTACATACTGATTAGTTAACACATCTTCCTTAGTAGTTAACAGTAGTGAAGAAGTAGTTAATGAAGAATTACCTATTAGTTCGTCAATAATTCCTTATTAATTCTGCAGTAAGTAAGATACAGTATTCTAAAGTGTTACCAAAAAAGGTAATAGGCAATAGGAAAGAAAAATAAAAAACATGGGTAACATTTTATTTTAGCTGTTACTCATGTTACGTGAAGTTACTAATTAAAGGTAGGGTATGGGATTTGCAGAACGGCCGGCAGATTTTGAAAATATACAGTACAACTCAAAAGTTCCTACTCTCTTTCCTCCAACACTGGCCCTGACTCCACCCATTCAAAGGATATGGACGCCCAATTATGCATCTGCAAAACTCAAATGCACGACATTGCACTTATTCTCTCTCTCTGTACTGGGGCGACTTGCACTTATTGTGACTGGGTCACGAGCTTTGAATATGCGCATGAAGGGGACACGCACGCGAGGGGGAGAGGGGTATGATACAACTGTTTGATTGATGCATTTTCTGTCCAATGGTTCTAGGTGGTCTTGGAAACGATTGGCTGGAGTTTTCCACAGATGATGAAATTGCTTAATTTTCATTCCAGTGCTTCTAACCTTCTGGGTTAGGAATAGGATTTGAAGTGATTTTGAAAAAAAAAATCGAAAAAGAAAATCACATGCCCCACATTTAATAACTGTAAATTATGCATGCAACTAACCCTAAACCAAACCCTAACCCTAGACTTATAGTAAGTAGATACACATATTACTCAGTACTTAAATGTATAATTACAGTGACACCTTAAAATACTGTAAAGTGTAACCAAAACATGATATGACATTAGCAACCAGTAGTAGATTATTTGGGTCATCTGTAATGGTCTTGGCCATAGCACTTTCAAGTCAGAGAATCTTTGATGTCTAACGTGACATGATTCCTGGTGCACATCTGCCGAAATGGCACAGAATAGCACAGAAGCTAATATGAGCGCTCTCAGGCATATTAAATCAGATTAGGCAGGCAATCACCTGAAACAATGTGTCTAGCCAAGGGCTACACTACCCCATCAGAGCCATTCAACTGCCACCATTTATTTAATGTAATAGAACGTAATTCAGCTTGTAATTTAGAATGATTAATTGTATTATACAGTACAAACATCAGTGATCCCAGAGGGAAAATCAGACGGGTACTGTCACTAATATTTGTCTGACTGTCTGCTTCATGTTTACGGATAAAGCTCACATCTGGGTGAATCATGGAGTCCTGAGGACATGCCTGGAATCAGCCCCTCTCGTTTAATCACAGTACGTAAAATGCATACAATAACAGACTGTTGAATACAAAGATGGAGGTTTATTGACTGATGGCCTCTTTAATTGAGTTTCACAAATGAAGAAAGGTGCAAAAGTGAACAAAAAAGACTGTTCAAATGCTGACTTTTCCTTTTTTTGCGATCCTCGCTGTTAAGTACAAACATTTCAATGTGCCTAACTACCTGTATGCTCCCGTCTTCAGGAAAAAGAAACAAGCAGATAAGCAGAAGGTATGAATCATTAAAGTTTATGACTTCAGACATTTCAGATGCCAATTCTGTCTTCTTTCTCCCTACAGAAATAAAATTTGATTAGATATTATAAGGTCAACAAAATATTGATGCATCCATCAAATATTATTTTCCAGGCCTATCTCAGAGTATTGCAGTCCCCACAAGAGCTTATTTACGTGGATTATGCTGAGGGGGTTGAATCCAAAGGGATGTGAAGGTTGCTTTCTTTCAAAAAAATGTTTCGAGGATGATTTTCATTTATTTCAATGAAAATCATTATCCATATTAGAAAAAAGATACAAACACGCAAAAACCCCATCTTTCTTGATGCGGGGGGAGATTCTGATCCCCGGGGTCTCGTTAACACCAAGAAGGTCTATAATACCTGGAGAGAGTTATCCTTTAGGATTAACATTCATCTCACTGGCAGTTGCTTGTCTTCTGCTGCCACCGAGTCAGAATGGCATGGACATTAGTGGCAGTCATACAGTAGTGAATTGGAAATTGAGCATTAAAATTTTTAGCTTTTTCAAACTTTTTTTGTTTGGTAACACTGTCTTTTAATAGCTGCAATTTTGCATCACACAGGAATTAAAAGATTTATAATTAATAGTTTATCACATATATAAAGGAGATAACTTTTCAAGTCAGCCATTTTGTTCAGTTTAATGTCCCACAGATACGTTAATTATCATAACCCATGTGTACAGTACACTGTAAAGTTTCACGAGTGACAACCACATTTAAATACAGGAATGCATTCCCCAAATGAATCCGTGTGTGTACTGAACAAACGTGCCGCATAAGACCTCAAAAGTGAAGCCCCCCTGTGACCGGACCTAGTATAGCTCATAACCCCCACCTCCCCATGTTATTCAATGGGACGCGAGACCAACTAAACAATTAAATTACACTTCACATATCCTTTTTCCAAAGATAGTTTCTGTCATTTACTGTAGTTTCTATCACGTTGATGTAATTTCAAGTGTTCGTTTTTGTTTTTAGTTAGTTATGTCATGATAAAAACGGTGCTCTGACATCATGATTGACAGCTGTGATTGACAGGTTCTCTGTGCGAAGTAGTCACTGAAGCACTAGCTGACCTTTTTTTTAATAATGTTGATTATGTGGTTAGTAGTTGTATTTACCTTATTTTAACGAGGTTCTGCAATCAGCAGACATCATTGGACAGGAACGAAGCAGACAGAGGACACTTAATGAAAGTGCGGGGCGTGTGCTTGCGTTTGATTCAGCGAGAACGAGGGCGCGGCCTTGATTTCTCGGCTTTACTTCCTGCTCGACTGCGCATGACTGGTCCCGAAACACGCAAGTGCGCAGACTCAAGTTCCAAGATTTCAGCGTCATATCGATACACTGGCGGCTTCAGTTCTCTCTGATGGAAAAGAGCGAAGGGACGTCGTCCATTTTTTTTTTACAGTCATGGTACTGAACTCTCTCACGAAATTGTGATATTGACAGCTGTTTTACCAGTTTAATATTACAGTGACCAAAAATGTTCTGCAATTCCATAAATGTGTTGTGTTTTGTTTGTGTTTGGAAGTCTGCTTAACAGAGCACGGACATGTTGCAATATCCATTTATTATAAGCGTTTTTGGGCTTGTTTGAGCTCGCCTCATAAATCCATCGAGTTTATGGAGTTAATAAATTAGGCAGGTGTGGGATGTTTTGTCTTGTTTTCAATATTAAGCATTTGGATTTATCTTGATTTATTATGGGCTTGTTCTTGTTTGTTGTTGTTGTTTTTTAGGAAGATCTGACTGTGTCAAAGCTTGTGTGCCTACTTCTTCCCCTGTGATTTATTTTGCACCACACGCACATAGAAGAGATGTCCATATCTGATGTGCTTATAAACACGTCATTAACTAGTTGTTCAGTTTGGTTCCATATAGACTGCTG